CTATTCGATTCGCCTATTTTTGAACCCAATTCGATAATAAATTTCGAAAATATTGGTATTTTAAAAACCAAAAATTGTGCTAAATGACATTTTCTTAACTTTTTTGTATGGAAATTTTTGTTTAACTATTAAACTATTATAACTATCTTGTAGAGTATTTAAAAATACATTGATTGACCCAAGATTCAATCACTTTTACCATATTTATAAAAAGTTATTCATATTTTTCTATTATTATTACCTCTATGAGGAAGCAAAGCGTTCATGAAATGAACACCAAAATTATAAAAAAAATGTATATTTTTTTTATTAGCAGCGGTTTTTTTTAATCATTTCTTATACTTTATTTTTTTAACTATAAGTATTTAAATATTATTTAATTATATTAGGGGCCGTTCAAAAAATACGTAACGCTTTTTGGGGGGAGGGGGGGTCAAGCTATTTGTTACGGTCAGCAGAAAAAATGGCGCTAATGTATACAATATTGTGTTACATGTGGGGAGGGGGGGTCCAAATTTCCGAAAAATAGCGTTACGTATTTTTTGAACGGCCCCTTATTATAATATAATGCAATTAACTTTTATACATTACTATAGCTATGTATATTTTTTGTTATAAACAGGCTTCACAGTGCCCCTAAAAAATATTTTAGGGGAAATAGGAGACTGAAAATTAAAAAATAGGGGACTTTTAGGGAACCATAAAATTTGGTTAAATAAAGATAAAAATATAATTTATTTATACAGTGTTGCCACAAAAGCTTAACTTTATTTTTCCCTGATTTCCAAATACAACTTTGACTTTTTCCCTGACCCTAAAGAATATTCTGATTCACTCTCAAAATTATTAGATATTAAAAAAAAAGTTCTATTAAATTTATTTACAAATTTCTTCAAAAGTAAAATTATTCGAAAACATCAATAGTTTTATTTAAAATAAATATTTAATCATTTTTTTTTCATTGGAATTAGATGTTAAAAAATTTCAAATTCAAACCTTTTCAAATTGAACAACTCATAAGAATATTTAAACATAAAGAAATGGATCACTCCGAATTGAAGACTCGGAGTGATCCATTTCTTTAAGTTTTATAATAATTAAAGATGACCGACTGACAAAATCATTATTTTATTATTATAAAAATATTGTTACTGTAATTTCTTCAAAATAATTTGTATCATTTCAATTCATTTAACATTTTCTAGAATTTTTAACTAAAATTCTACTTTAAATCAATAACATCAATTATTATTCAATTAAACTTTTTGAAAAAAATTAATTCTACAGAATTGTTAGTTAAAAGTACGAAAACTAATAATTTAATTTTACGAGAAATCAATTATTTAAATACAAAAATAAATAATATTGAATGTTTCTTAAAATTTAATTTTTACGAACAATTGTATTAACAACTTTTGAAAATATATAATTTCTTTTAAGGAATTTAATTCAAATTTTAATGAAATTTATTATATTAAAGAATTTTATAATAATTTTTGAAAATAATTGAAAACTTTTTCAAGAATTTTATTAAATTTTTAAAAAATAATTGAATTCCTGAGAAGAATTTAAATAATAATTTTATTTAAATTTTTGAAAATACCCAGGTAGAAAAATTTAATGGAAGCCTAGATATATGCTAGCGCCACCACTGGAATTTGTATGTTTATCTCGCCGACGTCTTCTAGCGCCTTGCATGGCGCGAGCACTTTCTGCTAGAATGCAACATAACCACAAATATCGCTGTTGCATAAGGTATCAACGGTGTTTGTTTTTTTGTTAAGGAAATTTTAAAAAATATTTTAAGTAATTAATCTAACAATTTATCACCAAGAATAACAATAAATACTTTTGATGAATTAAACATATTAATTTCTCTAAATTCAAATTAGAAAACATAACCTCGAACGTCTGGATTTATGTTTTCTTTATTTTTAATTGACCTGTCAGAACAGTTTTATTGGTTTTAAATAAGAACATAACTTTTGCAATTAAATTATAAGTGATTTTTTAATAATAATTTAAACTTTTGGAGATAATTTTCATAAACTAATATGTATATATAATTCCACAAGGTTAAGAAGTGTGATTACATTTATTAAATCGAAAAGTGTAATTAATTCTTTAAATATGTATAATTTCCATTGTAAACAGATAATTAGTAAATATTTTTTATATATACTTTTATTTAAAGTCATCAAATGAAATGACATATAAGAATAATTGTTTAATTCGCGAAATAAATTTTTGGCAGGTGAGGTTATGTACATTCTGTTATGTTCGCATTCTAGCACTGCGAGCAGAATGCGAGGAAGGTGCTAGAGCACAAAAGTGTTTCAAATGCTGTCAGCGCCACTACAGCGCAATGGCGTGCGAGAGTGGCACCTTACTAGCGCCACCAAATTTTTCTACTAGGGTAATTGACTTCTTGAGAAGAATTTTTGAAAAATTTTTGCCAATAATTTAATTCTTGAGAAGAATTTTCCTATCTATTTATAAAGATAATTTAATTTTTGACGAGAATTTTAAAAAAAATTTTAAAATAATTTAAATTCTGCAAAGTATTTAAATACTTTTCAAAAGAATTGACTTCTTATGATGAATTTTGATATTTATCAAAATAATTGAATTTTGGAAAAGAATTTTATTAAAATTCCTTAGAATAATTGATTTTATGGGAAGAATTTATGCGATTTTGTTGTTTATCAAGCTAATTGAATTCTTTTGCAAAATGACTTAAAAATTTTTGAAAATAATTGATTTTCTGGGACGATTTAAATGTTATTTATGAAAATATTTTAATTATTGCAACGAATTTAATTGTTTTACTGAATAATATTGAATGTTTCTTAAAATTGAATTCTTTCCTTAAGTTTTAGTAACATTTTTAATAATAATTGCATTTTTCAAGGAATTTATTTAAAATTGTATTAAAAATATTTGAATTTCTGCGATGAAAATAATTGAATTCATAAATGAAATTTTATTATTTATGAAAATAATTGAATCTTTTTGTAGAATTGTATCAAAAAGTTTTTTCTATAATTAAATCTGTTGATAAATTTTATATAGTAAATATTGAAAATTATTGAATTGCAAAAAACTTTTGAAAGTAATTGAACTTTTGCAAAGACTTTTTATAAATTTTTGAAAATAATTGAATTTTTGGCGAAAAATTTTGCTATTTGTAAAGATAATTGAATTCTTGACGACATACTCGTGGAAATTTTTAAAAATAATTGAATTTCTTCGAAGAATTTTATTACTTTTGAAAATAATTGAATTCTTGGGATGAATATTGTCTTTTAAAAATAATGTAGGTCATAACAAGTTTGTGCAGATTATTTATAAGAATTTAAAATACAACCAACCAACCAACTTCTAAACATAATTGAGACAAAATACTAATCTTACAAATTTTATAAATTTCATGAAAAATTTCACCGATCATAAATTTCAAGATTTGAAAGTTTCAACACTGAGAAAACTGGAGTATTGGACTAAACATCTGCAGGGACAAATCGTTGATATTTGAGAGTTAGCTATTGGATAACAATCTAAATGTTCAAATACACCATTGACAGATATTCGTGCCATTTCTCTTGGAGGGAAAATGAGTTTATAACAGAGGGACAAATTAACCATCTTGAGAAATCCCTTCCTTATCCGGCGCGAAATGAATAAATATGTCAACCTAACCCCTAAATTAAATACATGAAATGTCAGAAAAATAATTTCGCGCGCATCAGATGGTACACATTTTCTGCGCAACTTTTAACCCTCAGATATAATGGGAGAGAATATACAAGTAGATTTCCATTATCAATTCAAAATTTATTTTAGAAGGACTATTTAACTCTCTTCATAAGCAAAGGAAACATACACTTTTTGAACCTCTGAATTTGACTCTCCAGTTTTCTCAGTGAAAACAAATGTTACCCATTGAAAGTTTCAACGGCGCTTTGCTAAATTTGGTGTTAATTCATCATTAAAAGATAAAAGAAAAAATAGGGGAAATTTTCAAAATAGGGTACGTTTAGGGGCCAAAATTAAAAAAGGGAACTTTTAGGGAAATAGGGGACAGACTGTGAAGCCTGTATAAAAGAAAACTCAGGCGTGAAGAATCGAACCCCAGTTCTTTGCTTTATGAGTCCTGTAGTTGAACCACTGAGCTATCTTACTTTCTTTTCTCTGTATTATAATTATTGCAGTCATTATGACTATTTAATGATTTTTAATTATAATTTATTCAGTTTTTGCATTTTTAATTCTAATAATTTTTATAATTACTGTAATTATTATAAATATTATAAAAATTATAATAAATATATTTATTTAAATTAAATTTGAATTATTAAGGTACTGCCACAGCTCTTGTCGACAGCTGCCTGCGCAGGCAGCTGTCTTCAATTTAGGCGGAAGATTTAAATTAATATTAAAATTAAATTAATAATTTTTTATTTTTAATTGTAATAATTAAATTACGCCTACGGCGCCCTCGACCTCCACTCGTGTCACAAAAATTACCGTAAATAAATGGCTGCCTTTACGTACCTTGTTGCTTAATATACTATTTTATTAAAAAAAAAACGTTATGTGAATTTAAATCTTCGGCCTAATTGAGGTCGGCTGCCTGCGCAGGCAGCTGTCGATAAAGAGCTGTGCAGTACCTTTACAGTCAGAGTTTCTAATCTATATACTCCGTCGGTAAAACAAAAGCGCGGGAATTTTAAATCATAAATTTTTCAGATTAGGAACAAAAATGTTTCTTGTTAATAAAATAAAAAAGGACTCCAATCATTATTATTGAATCTTTAACTAAGTTTTTAAATAATTGATAATAAACATTTAAATAAATAAAAAAAACTTGTGTATCAAATAAATATTAATCATTTTCATATAATTCCTTTTATAAGAAAAGTTTTCTTTTACCAAATAAAGACCGAAAATTGAAACTAATTTAAAAAAATTTAACTTAAATTAAAAAATAAGTTACTTACCCAAATGCATCCCGGCTCCTGTACCATGCACGCCAATATCTCCTTGAGATGAACACCAAACGATCTTGAATCGGCTTCGGTGACATTTGTCGTGACATTTTCATGATCAATGATATTCGTGTGATTTGTCCGCCACGCTGGATCCTTGACTATTTGCGCGGCATAATATACGGAGCATGACAAAATTCCAATACTAATTGCCGTGTAGACTCGTAAACTCGGGACCGGCAAACGGTCCAGAAACACCATCGGCATGTTAGACTCAATTTTTTCTTAAAATCTTCAATTACTTTAGCTCCAAATTGATGCTGCAAAAAAGGAATAGAAAAAAATATTAACATCATTTTTATATTATAGAAAAAAAATAAAAATTTGATTTTTGTTATTAAAAGGGCAAGAAAAATATTTCAAATAACAAAACGGTTTATTGGTCAATTTTTTAAGGCATGACATCTTTTCAAGCTGTCACTTTCTTTTTATTTCTTATTTTCAAATATTTAAATTTTAGTTTATTTTATTTAATAAACATTTTACTCAAAGAAACTTATTATTACACGAGTTTCTAATATATACTCCGTCGGTAAAACAGAAGCGCGGGAATTTTAAATCATAAATTGTCAAATTAGGAGAAAAAAATGTTTTCTGCTAATAAAATAAAAAACGACTGAAATAATTATTCTTTAATTTTTTAAGGTGACATTTTTATTTTTATACATTTTTATTTAAACCATATATTTAAAACTAAATTTGAAAAATTTAATTTAAATTTAATTGTAAATAAAAAAAATTTTTTTTATCTAAATTTAAATTTAAATTTACAAATATTAAAAATTAAAAAATTAATAAAAAAATTATTTAAAAAACATAAAATTAATAACAAAATTGAAAAAGATATGCAACGTCAGAGTAAAATCGATAGAGTAAACTAATTTTAAATTGCCTTTTCAAATCGTCAGCATAACCTCAAAATTTGTAAATGTTTCTTTCGTATACAATTGGCAACGACAGCTTTTTACGCATGCCAAAGGAAATTCTGAGGTGTAATTATTTTTAATTTTTTATGACGGACGGGTTAACAAACGCGTGCATAACTCAATGATACCGGAAGCAATAACCTTTAATCATTCTTTATTATATAGTATTATAAATTTAATCCCATTATTTATCATTCCCGTCATTTCCCTTTTAGTAATTTTTAAATATTTTTAATAAGTTTTTATTACACGCAAACAACAACAACAATAGTAATAATAATAATAATAATAAAAATAATAAATAATATAATCCATAAATTACGTAAGACATTTAGGGGTGGGGGGTCTGCTAGATCTTACGAACAATAGAAAAAATGGCGCTAATGTATGTAAAATATCTTACAACGGCGAGGCCCAAGCAGCACGTAAGCTTATCTTGACATCACTGTAATATTACATTGGAGATTCGTCATATTACTCTGTAATATTACAGTGATCTTATTGGGATATCAAAATGTCCGCCTGGAGGTAATATTACGTTGTTATATTAAGAAAATATTACCTGGTAATATTAAGGTAATATTAACGTAATGTTAAGGTAATATTAACGTAATGTTAAGGTAATATTCAGATAAAATTAGAATAATTTTATAATTTAGAAAAAACATTTCACAAAGCTGGACTTGAACCCTGAACCTTGTGCACAGTAATCAAGAGTCTTACCACTGAGCAAAACTTACTTATAGTGTATTAAGATTTTTGATGAAATATGAAGAACTTTAAAAAAACTTACAAAGATTATATACCGTCGAGAATCTTAATACACTACAAGTAAGTTTGGCTCAGTGGTAAGACTCATGATTACTATGCACATGGTTCAGGGTTCGAGTCCAGCTTTGTGAAATGTTTTTTTCTAAATTATAAAATTATTCTAATTTTATTTGAATATTACCTTAACATTACGTTAATATTACAGTGTAATATTACCTTAATATTACCAGGTAATATTCTCTTAATATTACCAGGTAATATTCTCTTAATATAACAATGTAATATTACCTCCAGGCGGACATTTTGATATCCCTATAAGATCACTGTAATATTATAGTGCAATATGACGAATCTCCAATGTAATATTACAGTGATGTCAAGATGAGCTTACGTGCTGCTTGGGGGTGGTCAAATTTTCCTGAAAAATGTGTTACGTAATTTATGGACGGCCCCTAAGAAAATAATAGGTACTAATAAACTATTTAAACGGTATTATTTTTAAAACATTTCTAATTACTTAATATTATTATTTTTTATTGTTCCCATTTAATATTTACTTATTTATTCTCAATTTATTAGTTTATATTTTACTTGATTTGTTATTTAGCTAAATTCGTATATTTTTTGTGTCAATTGGCAATTCTTGAGTTTCCAATCTAAGTCCTGTCGGTAATGCAGATAATTGCAGGCGGGAAGTTCAAAATAGTTAGTGGTATATTTTTAAAATAAATTTTGAAAATAATGAAAACAATTAAAATAGTAAAAAAGAAGAAATAAATTACATTTTTTATCCTGAATTTACAGTAAAAATAAAAAGAAAAATTTTTACGATATTACTGCGTCAATAATGGGGGGAAAATTTTTCAGAAATAAAAGAGGTTTTGAATATATAACAAAGATTTTATCATTGTTTTTATGTAATATATATAATTTTTATGTATATATATATATATATATATATATATATATATTTATACAAGAGCTTCAATACGTAAGTGAAGAGCTTTCTTTCAGTGCTTTACAATAACCTTGAAATAATTTACAAAGTCGCAAATGGATTTTTCTGGCGTTACACTAGCGAAAATTCTCTTTCACTCAATTTTCTTTAACACACAGAAAACACAATTTACAACTTTAATCCATATATGAAATATTCAACAACATTCGTATAATCAATGTTTTAAAGCGTTCAATAAACTGTCCATTCTTTTTTTTGTGTCCAACAATAATTATTATTCTGTTAATTTTCTCTTATTGAGGAATTAATTTTTTTCACCTTTTACATATCTTAAAAATTAAATTATTCACCCTGATAACTTTCCTTATTATTCTTTTCTAATTTTTAAAAAAAAATTTTTTAATTTTGTTTTATATAACTTTCAAATTTTAAAAAAGAGTTCAATTTTTGTTTAATAGAATTTTAGAAGATTTCAATTAGGGAACGTTCATAAACTACGTAGTACGTCTAGGGGGAGGGAGGGGGTCAAGCAATTGTCTACCATAAGAGGAAAAATTGGAGCTAATACATGCAATTGCGTCTACATGGGGAGGGGGGGGGGTAAAATTTCCAAAAAATTGGTCTACGTAGTTTATATGAACGCAGGAAGGAAGAGTAAGGAGACCGAACTCTGCTTCTACAAATGTCAGAGAAATATGCACGAAAAGTGCCAGACTCACCGTGTTCTAGTTGATCACCAATTAAGTCGATCATGCGCATTGAACTAAAGTTCAGTGTTGACTGTTGACATAGATGAAAAGTGTGGTTATGTCAAGGTAAATATTACATAGTTTAAACAGTGTTAATTTTAAAAGCAAATTTATTTATTTGCAATTGTGATATTATTTAGATTTTCAAAATAATTTAATAATATATTCATGAAAAGGGAAAAATTTTGCGAAAATGGTTAAGAAGAATTGTGTTTATAACTAGAGTATATTTACATACCGTAGAAGGATAGAAGAGACTAATGTTTTTACACTCTTTTTCTTTCTTTACATCCTGGCAGACAACACGACATTTTTTAAATAAAATAAATAAATAATTATTAAAACGAAATGTATTGTATAATTATGTATGTATCTCACTAAGACCGGCTAAATGTAAACATTAGATCTTACATCTCACTCGCACAATTTTTACGAGAAACAGAGACACAACACAGCTTATGCGCATGATCAACTTAATTGGAGGTCGACTAGAACGCAGTGAGCCTGGCACTTTTCGTGCATATTTCTCTGAGATTTTTAAAGCGCTTTCTACACAGAGTTCGGTCTCCTTACTCTTCCTTCCTGTATGAACGTTCCCTTATTTAAAATTTAAATCGACACTTAAAATTAAATTATTTTTATTTATTTTTTTATACTTAAACTTTACAAATATTTGTTATATTTAAATTATTTTGATAAATAAAACTGATTTGGAAACATTTGAATTCTTCGTATAATGCAATCTGAGATTTATTAAAATAAAAATAATATTGTAAAAGATGTCATTTGTTTTTTAAAAAATCAATCCACATTTATTCAAACGATTATTTATGTCAAATGTGAAGCTTTTCGTCCATCGACGATGGACCTCTTCAGACAATATATGGAAACTGCAAATTATTATTATTTAACATAAAAAACGGTTCATAAAAACAAAAACAATACTGTTATTATATTTCATTATAGTAACATTATGTACATAACCTCAGCTTACCAATGTGGATATCTTTCATCACATATATAATTCTAATAAAATTTTACAAAACAATCATCATATAAAAAATCCGTTTTTTGCATCCAAAACGTTGAGATCTTTGAAAGGGTCATATTTGACATAAATAATCGTTTGAATAAAAATAATATTGGTCTGAATTTCTTGAAAAATAATAATTATTGAATTTGAGATGTATTTATAATTGTCTATTGTTTTGTAATGTCTTCGATTATTTACCTTGTTCATTCACCTAATATTCGTTTAAACTTTTAGTGTAGTCTGACTATTTGAATGTGACAGACTTAAAGTTAAAAGTTGTCACATGATAATTTTATTAATTTGACTTTCCATTTTTTAAAAAAATGGTTAATAATTTTTTTTAAATTGTATACTTATTTATTATGTGTTGTTTTTTAAAATAATTTTTTATAATTTAATATAATGAGTGTAAAAAAATTTTCAAAATGTGTTTTTAATTTTTATTTCTAATTGTTAATAATTTGTATTTTATATATTTTTGTAGTCCCTGAAGAGGAGTTTATGATTTAACTCGAAACGTTGGACATTTTTTAAAAAATAAAAAGTAACATTGTTGTCCGAATGTGTCGTTTTTATTAATAATTAATAATTGTAAAAATAAATACAAAATTTTTTTATTTATTTTTTTTAGTAAATTTATATAAATATATAAACGTAATTAAAAATTGTTATAAAATAAATAAATAGAAAAAAAGTGAAAATAAAAAGATCTACCTACAAATGGATTAAAAAAATCTAAAAGAAGAAGATGAGATAAAATAAATTTAATTGAATAAATAAAATAAATTATGGTTACAAAATTTAATTTGAATTTATTAGTATG